GATTCGATTATGTCCAATACTTGTTCCTCTGTGTCTGGAACCCGAACATCGATTGTCGTCCACTATCTTCCTGGAACCACTCTCCTCGCTCTTTGTTGGCTTGAGTTCTTTCATGTTCTGCTATCTTACTGTAGCATTTCCCCTGAACTAATAGCATATCCGCAAATTCGTGAAAAGAAATTCAAAGTAAGTCACAGTTTGACAAATTATTGTTAAGATTGACAGGATCTACCTGTAACTATCTGTTAATGACTAAAAACATCATTGCCACTGTGCCTTTTCATCAAAAAATTGTAGAAGAGAACTTTCTTGATATCAAAAATTTTCGTAATTTGAAGCAAAGATCGTAATTCTTCTTTTTGGATGCTTAAGTATTCCAATATGCTACCAATTAAACATGAAACCATTTCAAAATAATGCTTAATAACAAAGTTGAAATTCGATCTTCAACTGTTAATATCTTCTAGAAATTTTCAGAAAAAAAATTGTCAATATTTTTCTCGTACTCCCCCAAGGGAGCCGCTATCACCCCTTAAAAGAAATGACGCCAATTTTGAATCACCCTGTATGTATCTCTAGCAACGACGCTTTTTTACCACACATTCCGGTAAGCCATGAGCGACAGGAAAATTAAATTTATTTGATTTTCGCGCCATGTTAATCGAAAAAAATGTTTTAAATAAATTTTGCGTGTTTTTAGCGGTAGAATCTGAATCTGCAATAAAGAGGGGTGCCATTGAACAAATCAAAGTTACTCACCTTTCCGAGTTTGTAACTGTTTTTGTTATTGGCAAATTTGTATACGACTTGACCAAGTCTAACTCTAACTCATCATTAACTCATCATTAACTAACAAACCGATTTAGAAAATTTCATAAATTTTTAACCCCAAATCCCTGTTAATGCTCTCACCTGAAGGATTAAGAGCTTTAAGAGGTTTCAGGCCATATCTTCGGTTCATATAAACCTATTGTACCTTCCACAAAAACCATATCACGTGTAAATGAAAATGTTCGAATTTGAGATGTGAACCTTAGCCAAGTTAAATTTCGTAGCCATAACCTGAGCGACAATAAAACTATGCTATAAAACGGTATCATCCATCGACTCTGCTAAGCTTAAGAAACTTAGAAGGTGCATTAAAATACCTCTTTTGAACCGTTTTTCCGACACATCGTCCTCATCACCGCTGAAAATCGCATCGAGTCCCATCGATTCATCATCAGACGATTCGTGCGTTTCGATTATTTCCTCTTCAAGGCCGCTGTCCCATTTTTGACGTTTGCCATTTTGGTTTGAGGTTCTGGTACTTGTGCTAGGTGTTGCAGCAGCTGCCAGTTCAAGATCCGCCCGACTAAAACAAAAATACATGCATGAACAGTATACAGGGTATTTACGTAGACGGTGCATTAGAAGTTTTCCAACTTGCAGTTTAAGAAACTTTCAGTTTTGTTTCCAGTTATAACGAGTCCTGTCGAAACCATGTAAAATACATTTAGCCCTGCTGCTATGCAAGTTGTTCGGAAACTACAACATAACTTTCTCACTTTAAATGCAAATTATATTCTTATCTTTCCTGAGTCTCAGTCAAAGTGTGAAGTAAAAATTTTTAATATCGTTTATTTCATTACGTTTCGGTGAGACAACAGCGCCATCATCAGATTTAAAATTTACATAAACTACAAACACCAATTCACAATTAAAACATGTTGTATAAAAACTATAATTTATAAAGCGTTAAAACATTCATCAGCTCTTGAGGGTAAAAATATCCTACCTTTTGGGGGTGCAAAACATTTGAATAACTTACCTCATAATTGGTAAACATTGCGTTCTTTTAGGCCTTTGCCTTCTTGAAACCTTAAATTTGTCTGACTCATTTTCTGTATTTGCGAAAATGGTATTGAGATGACCGGAAATAGTTTTATTTTTTCACTAGTGTACTGGGTGTTCTATACTTATGGCTTTATTAGGGTTTGGAAAATGTTGCTAAGGTTGTCGGTATCTGATTTGAAATTTACTGCTTTTGAATGTTTTTTTATTTGTAGCATTTCTTGGATTCTTCATTTATGATAATTTGTTTCCCTAACTAATATATCTGCGTTGTTAAAATCTAAATTATGTAAAATTTGGTGTGCATGTTGTGTTAATGCTGTTTTATTTTCACTAGTATTTCCCAGACTGTATTTATTTTCGTACATTCTCTTATTTAAATGCAAACCCCAAATTTATTTTGCATGGCTGGATTGGTCTTTCAATTGCGTGTTTGGGTAACGGTAGTTTCGTTAAAGTTTAGCATATGTCGTATTGGCTCAAGCGTTGTCATTTCCAAACGAAAAGGATTCCTGAGAACTGCTTTTCTCAATTTGTCGCAACTTTTTGATTGAAATAATGTAGAATATTTAATTATAGTTATTAACAATTACTTGAAGCTTAAAGCTTCTCTCTAAGTCGTATTTGCTATTTGATACCTTTAGGGTCAGTTTGACATAAAGCACAAAAACATGTATGTACGCACTTCTTACTTAGCTTTTAGCTTAAGGATTTACTTCACACTGATTTTATCACCAATGTTACCGCCCATTCGTACATTTTCATTAACTTACGTTTTATTTTGATGCTGATGTCTTACAGCAAGGGCCTCGCTGATATCTGCGTCTATAAAAGCATGTTCGCCATATAATTCTATCATCAAAGGTATGTCGTCGGGGTCAACATCGCATAATCTGCGTTCATAAATGGATGCCCCACGTGGAAACCTAAATGGTTGGAAATTGGAAACATGTTTAGTTTAGGTCATTTCTAACTGCTACAATCCAAAAATAAAAAACTATGTTTATGATTCGTTTTATTAACTTGTGATGCTGTCTAGTGAGAAAATTTTTTCACTCAAATAGGAAATACGTTCGCAATACGCTCCATAAATGGTGACTCCAAATATTAGACAGATTCAGAGACTATATCCAAGCAAAGTAAATTGCATTGTGTTTAGATAGGAAGTTTTCAAAGTGTGGTGATTATTTTAGCAGTGAAGAAAAATAAGCATTCTAAGGTATCTATTTGTATTTAATAGTGTCTTAGTGATGATTCTGCGTTGAAATCATCAAGTAATTATTAGCAGTTTTCTTTATTTTCGACGAAAATTATTAGTATTTTTATTAAAACCTGTTATTTGTATTAAATGTTATAGAATAATTGTTACTCGTCGGGCTCATGGGCGTCAACATTATAATATTCGTGAAAATGTTCGTTTTTCCGGTTTCCAAAAGACTCGCCCACAAGGAATCGATGGATGAAGTTGATACGGTTAGTGAATCTTATACTGTCATCTGTAAACCGTACGGGATAAAGTGTTATTGGGAAATGAGTAAATAAAATATATTTGCCTCTATCGCGCCAATCACCTAAGTTAGTCTAGACGGCGATATGAGAATTTTTTACTTTAAGTTTTTTTTTAAGTAACTAAGGTAATTGTAAAAAACAGACGCTGGAAGGAAAAACGTCCTAACCTATATGTTATAATTTGCCGATAATCGGGTTTTCATTCGTCGGTTGGGTGCAATCATATACTTAAGTCGGTCTTGGGAGTGCCGTTTCAAATCGGGACCGCGAACAAAAAGAAAAAATTATTTAAATACAGTCCACTTCAACGGAATCCGACAAGTGTGGAGGGTTCCAAGGTTAGGCCAGCTACTTGCCTAGGGCAAAAAAACAATCATAGCTCACAGAAACAAAGGTCAAGCCTCGGATAATGGACTACTATAAAACCAAAACAAATCAATGACGTGAGAGTGCTAACATCAGCCAATGTTGTCCCGGGAAAGATAACACTGGAAAAACATCATAAACGTAATCAAGAACCGCTATACATCGAAAAATACAACATGGAATCACTCGACCATTACAGTACAAAATAATTATACCAGCGGAGACTTACCAACAAGCTACTAAACGAAAATAAAACCGGCGCCAATGTCAATGAGAACTGGGAAAGGATAAAAGCGTGTATCCATAAAGCCACGGAAGAATCCCTGGGAAAAAGAAAAATTAACGGGCATGCCCAAAACCACAACACACCATGGTTCTGTGAGTAGGTGAAAAAGCTAGCCAATAAAAACGGGAAAGCTACTTGCTTTACAAAAGCACTCAATCGCACGATAATCTCATCCAGCACAAAGAAACTAGAAATCGCGCGAACGCAGAGGTACGAAGGATTAAACGAGAGTACTGGGGAAAATTCACCAACGATATGCAACACGATTTATATGGAGCTCAACCGAAAGTATGGAAGATGCTTAAAAATCGAAAAAAGTCTGTGAACGAATCCATTCTAACTAAAAGCGTGTCAACTGGGAGAGATATTTTAATGACCTGTACGATAACAACCAAGACACAAAGATGAGAGCTAAGCAGGCAGAAGAAGAAGAGGAGGTCCCAATATCATTCACGGACGAAGATATAAAAAAAAGCTTAAAAAAGAAAAGCACCAGGTGTGGACATTATACCCAACGAACTTCTAAAGTATAATGGTAATGAACTCACAAAAAAACTAACGCAACTCTTCAATATAATATTAAGCTCACAAACAATCCCCGACGATTGGCACAAAAGCTTCACCATACCCATCTTCAAAAAAGGACAAAAAACCAACCCAGAAAACTACAGGGGTATAACTCTTCTATGCTCCTCTATGAAATTATTCACCGGCCTTATTAAAGAAAACCTGGAATAACATATCAAAATTAAAAACGAACGGCAGCGATTCCGGAGAAATAGGTCTACAACTGATGCCCTATTTATCATACGCCAAATAAAAGAAAAGGCAATAGAATAGGCGACACCCCTTCTTTTGCATGTTTATCGATTTAACAAAAGTATTGGACCGTGTCCGCCTGGAAGACATTATCAACGTCTTGAAGAAAAAACGAACGCCAGCAAGAATTATAAAAACAGTAGACTGCGTAAACACACACAATTCAACCCGAATTAAAGTTGACCATAAGATAACAAATGTCATACCGACATCGCAGGGTATAAGACAAGGGGAGAGCTTTAGCCCGTTTCACTTCACCCTGATTATGGACGAGACCATTGAAGAGATCAGCGGCTTAAGAATGGGGTATAAGATCAACAGAAAACCAATTAGCATAATTTGCTACGCTGATGACGCGACAATATTAGCAGAAACGGAGGACAAATTGCAAAGACAACTTCACAGATTCAATCAGGTCAGCACACAATCTAATATGCAAATATCAATATCCAAGACAAAATGTATGACATTTGCCAGGGAAGCAACGAGATATAAGCCGGTTATACATAATGAAATTGTCGAGCGAGTCACAACTTTCAGATACCTTGGAGCGGATATGTCTAGCCGCAACGAACTAATTAAAGATCTGAAATCCTAGATCAACAAAGCCTCGTTAACATCCGGTTGCTTAAGAGACAGTAAAGTTCGAATATACAAAAACATGCGTAAAACCAATACTCACCTACGGCATCGAGATCCGAGCAGACACAAACGAAACAAAATGTATGTTACGAACGGCAGAAATGAAGACTCTAACCTGCAAGATGGATGTAATCAGATGGGGACGAAAGCGCAAAAGATGCTGGCGGCACCATGTAGAAAGAATCGAACCCGAAAAAAATGGCCAAGATTGTGTCGAATGGAAATCCAGCTGGTAAAAGACCCATCGGAAGACCACCGAAAAGATGGAAAGATAGTTACACATCCATATCATAGGAGAATCAACAACATTGACCAGACGAAATAAACAAACCAAAGGGTCTTTACAAAGAACAAGAAGAAGAAGTAAACCGTACTTGAAAATAATTCATAGGAGAACTCTAGAGATCCTGGTACTGGTGCCTTTGTATGCAGTTGCCATTTTCTTGATGGGAAGAAGCAAAATGGCCCCACAATATTATGGCACCTTGTCACAAAATAGCTAAAGTACCGGAGTCTGGAAAAATTAGCAGAAAAAAAATACCTACCGGAGCAGAAACGTCAATCGATCATTTAAGTAACAACATATTGTAATTTTTATATAATCGATTGGCGCCACTTAGTGTCCGGGCCTGGTGGTGTTAAATGTGCATGCAGGAAACCAGGCATCACATAGAAAACGGCTATTGGAATGAACATATGGAAGAGCTCAAATATAGCCATCCTGGTATGTTCGAGGACTACTGTAAGCAGGAAAGCTAACCATTGTGTAGAGAGATAAACAGCCATAGTATAGTGGGTCAAGCAGAAACGCACTGGAAAGGCTCGGGACACTTCATATCCAGAAATAACATCATGTTTTACTCAGGCACTGAGGACACATCCAGAAACGGAGTGGGCGTCGTTGTTAACAGGACATTAGAGAATTTTATTACAGAGTACAGAGCAGTCAGTGATACGATCGTATTGATCAGATGTAACGCCTGGCCAGACGATGAGATGTAAGAATGCTCAATTAGAACAACTTTTGGAGACTACAAAATCGAGAAACCACGATGATAATAAGAGACTATAATAACAAAGTTGAAAGGGAACCTGGAAGTGAAGATCTACGATAAGTGATCGGTAAATACGGTTTGGAAGAAGAAACACCAGAGGAGAAAGATTGCTGCAATTCTGCACTGAGAACAACTTTTTCACTACGAACACAGGATATGAACATCATGCAAGGTGTAATATGTCACTGAAGATGAGCAAAATGTTTTCACGGTAATTGGTTCAGTTGCCGAAAATTCTAATATTAGTCAAAATCTAATATCCAAAAGTACTAACATTAGTTAATCAGGTATTCCAAGAATTATTAAAAAGCAGAACTTTAATTCTTATAAAATTCAGCTTTGCCAAGAACTTTATAGGGAAATTATTTGGAAAACCCAACTGAGCTTTGCATGTGGGTGTTAGATAAAGTGGCAGAAATTGAAAAGTTTTTCGATAATGTGATATTTTGTGATCAACGTACTTTTTATAACAATGGTCTCGTGTATAGACACTAATACAGGGTCATGAAAAAGCGAAATAGGCAGTTAGTTAATGTGTGGGGTGGAATACTGTGCCCATATTTAATTGAACCCTAGTTTTTTGAAAGACATCTAAATGGTTTGATGCTCCAGTTTCCAATAAACCACCTTTCATTATTATTAGAAGAAGGCTCTTCAAATATTAGAACCAACATGTGCCTTCAATTGGATGGAGTTTCGCCTCATTATTATTGCGAAGTTTCTTCAGTTCAGTGCGAAGCAATTTTTAAATGCCAACTTTCAAAACAGGTCGGTTGGCAGAAATAGATTTCAAAATTGGCTCCCAGATCTCCGGATTGAACTCTAAACTAGATTTGTGAGGGTACATAAAAGGAATTGTCTACCATACGCTTCAGACGATCTAAAAATACGCATAAGAGACGCTTTTAAACTCCGCCAATGTTGTCCAGAGTTAGCAGTGGTTTTGAAAAAAGAATTTACAAGTGTCTGGAACTGGACGGTTACCACTTCGAACATTTGTTATAAATAATTTGCCTTTTTCATGTTATTGTTGATATCAGACTGTGAAGGCTTTCACGGCCGGTCAAATCACATTTCGAAATGTTTTTCGGGCTTTGAAGCCGTGGTCCATGGGAATTTGTTCCTGACGTTTCGTCCACAACTGCGGTGGACATTATCAAAGACGATGAGGCAGTAGGCGAAGTGCTTTCGAACAAAGACTGGTCCAACTACTGGATCCCCTGTCGTATTTATGCAGCCCGGCCGTGTGAGCTCATGCGTGAGGAGTGGGCGGGGCTTCAATTGTTTTGGCGCACATGCTGTTTGCCGCAACATGCGTTTTCAATCTAGATTAAAGGACGTTACCTCATTCCTATTAAAATTGTTGTCATGTTTAAAGATCTCAATAGCCTCTCTGGTTAGTCTTGGGTAATACCGTGGAGATTGGTGCAAAATGTCCACTTCACCGAAACGTATTTGGTGGCCGTGTACGTGTACGTGCTCCGCTACTGCTGGTTGTTCTGTTTGTCTCAATCTGCAACTTCTTTTATGCTCAGTGATCCTAGTGTTTACACTACGTTTTATGGTGCCGATATATGCTCTGCCACAATTGCATGGAACTCTGTGGACTCCTTGTGCTGATAAGGGATCTCGTTTGTCCTTGGCCGATCTCAAAGTCTGCTGGATTGTTGTCGGATCCTGTCCGTGACCTCATGTATGTATGGGAGGCAAGCCCAACCCTTACGCTCATCATGCGTATCTGTTTTCTCCGGACGACCTCCACTGGTTTTTGGTAGAATTGCTCTATTAAACTCGTTCTTGCTGTATCCATTCCAACCAAAGGCCCTTTCTAGGTGTTTAAATTCTCTTTCTAACTCAGATATTTCTCGGTTCGCAAATTATTCTGGATTTTTCGGTGAGGGTTTTAATGACTCCTTTCTTTTGATACACTGTGCAGGTATCGGTTTTCTGTACACCGTGTGGGTCAGCTTTCCGTTGGTTTTTCTGGTTACCAAGACATCTAAAAATGGCAGTCGCTCATCCTTCTCCACTTCCATAATGAACTGTATTTTTGGGTTGATTGAGTTGAAGTGCCTCAGGAAGTCTTTAAGTTTAACCAAACCATGGCCCCAAACAACGAAAGTGTCATCAACATATCGAAACCAACACTTATGTTTCCTCGCGGCTGTGTCCAGAGCGTCCATCTCAAATTTCTCCATAAAGTAGTTGCTATCACCGGACTAAGGGGGCTGCCCATTACTACTCTGTTCAGATAATTTCTTTTTCTACTGAAAGTAAGTTGTAGTTAAGCAGTACCTTCGAAAAGTTTGGCGATACCTGGTGGAAATTCCCTGCCTGGCAGCGGTCCCACAGCAACCACTGTCATCAACTATCACCCACTACCACCGACTAAAATTATGGAATCTGCAACGAACGGTCTCAAAGCAATTATTCACCGGCTTCCACTGTTTACGCGTCCGAAATTTCGAAACGGTGGTTAGCAGTTGATGGTAATGGATGACTAGTGACTAGACAAACCTTCTGTGAGACCGTTCAATGGGAATCGCATATGTTGGAAATCTGCTTGATGGCCACCGGTGATCACTGGTGGTTCTGTGGGACCGCCGCCTAAGTTCCATTACCTCTTTAATTGGTAATTGTGAACAAGGAAACAACATCAAACCTGAAAGCACGGGAGATCACTTCGCCCGCTGCCTCATCGCCTTTGATAACGTCCACCGCAGTTGTGGACGAAGCGTCAAGAAGAAATTCCCATGGACCACGGCTTCAAAGCCCGAAAAAAATTTCTAAATGTGGTTATTGATATGTTAATTAGAGCTTTTAATTAAAAAACACCAAATGATTTAAAGAACGATTATTTGGCGTATTTATACCTAATTATAGCCTGCCATAAATATGTCGTGGTGGTTCCCGGTGGAACACCCTGTAAAACTTATAAACTGAATATTACCAAATTGATTGATACCAAATATTTGATTAGATATTCAGCTTTACACCACGTAATAGAGACATGTTTCGTCCTGGGTAATAAGTAAATCGCATAATACTCTTGTTATTACTAAACGATGAGTTGGTTAAATGAAAACACTCAAGACTGATTTATTTAAACTAATAAATACCTATGGTTATTAGCTGAATCTTCAGTGCCTTGTTCATCAGTCCCCGTATTGCCCACTTGCTCCGTTGTTCCAAGTCCTCCACCATGCAAACTTGGATTTGAACTGCTTCTCTGTGCTTGTGAAAAAGATGACACATATCAGAATAGAGTGGTTTAATACATCGAGTAAATGCTTCAATTCTTAATGGTAAACACAGAACTCAAACGCTCTTACATTCCTAAAAATGTATTCAAAAATATTTGGTCCTCGCGGCGAAGCTCCTCATTGAAAAAAAATGTCGCCTCGTAAAATCACATCATATCAACATCGAATCATTATAATTGATTATTATATAAAAATGGCACTGTAAAGCCCAAAGCGACATTGACAAAAGATTGTTTTTAATATTTTCTTCTGTTATCTAATTCATGTGCTTGACGGCCTCCAAACCGTTTCAGCTTAGTCCGTGTAGATTACTAATACAGGGAATCCCACAGAAAACCACCATGATCGATATGTGGCAAACTATATCTAAGAGAAATTTGAAAATTGCATATGTATATGGAAGTCACAGGGGACAGCCGATCTAAAATATTTTCAAAATGGCCACACTTTCGGTTATACCGGAAGTAGGTATCATGCTTATTTTTAAAGGGAACACCCTGTATATTATTATATTTTTTAATTATACTCAAAATTCTAAAAACATTTTGTGTATAATATATTATGCCATAAGTAAACCGTTTTTGATATATTTAAAATTGTATGCAAAAAATGACACTTGTAGGTACCGGAATAATTATTCGTTTTTCCTATAAACAAGTATATGTTACTTAATTTGAGTCATTCTGATCAATTGTAAAAGATACAGTTTAAGAAAAGTAAATAATTCTCCAAATTAAGGAAATAAGCATAGTAGAAATTATTACAATTAAAACAAAGAGAATGCAACAAAAATCAGCTAAATGGTTTTTTGCGACTATTCAGACAAAGTGAAACGAAAAACAAAATAGATTATACGCTGATAAAACTGTGGAAGATGAGTGTGAAGTTGTTAGTGGTAAGGACCTGTTTTGAACGGCAATATTTTTAGTTAAAATCAATGAATTAAGAATAAAATTACAGAAAAGAAGTAAAGCGTTTGATAATATTACGAAATTAGATAGTGTAGAAACAGATAGTGAAACACATAATTTAATACTAATGTTAAAATCAGAGTTCGGAAAGACTTGGAAAGAAAAATTCAATTAAAAGAGAAAACCAATTCCATAGAAAATCATGATAAATTCACAGAATGTCATTCTTCTTGCAAAAACAGTTTCTTTCAGATGGTGAGCTATGAAAAACACGTATGGATGGAATTTATATTTCCGTAATTTCTATGAACTATTGATTTAAACAATCCTGACTACTGAGTGATTTTTTCAGTTATATCATTATTAACGAGAGGTTTATTTCTTTGCACGATTGCCTTGACTATTGCAAATTTTCTATAATTTGTTTAACAGCATAGGGTGATGGATTTGATGGTGGAAATTTGGATGATGATGGAACTCGTCGTTTGTATAATTTAGGCGTCCGGGCACGATTATTAATTATTTTCAAAAGGTTTCCAATAGAAAAAAATTCCAGATTTTGGGCTGTTTTCTCAACTGTATTTTGAAACTTATTTTTTTAACCCTTTGTATTAATAGTGCCTGCAACTGAACCTGTTACTAAGTTCTCAATTTAGATTAACGTAATGAGTGTGTTCTTCCCAGAATAGTTTTCTATATCTCGCTCAAGATATAATTTTTTCAAGGCATGAAAATGCACTATATTTAATATCGTTATTATAGGTGCAATTGTTAGAATATAAGTTACACAAATATAATCTCCCACAGATGTGTTAGTGGTTAAAACGATCACTTTAGTAAGAAAAATGTATCAATATCACGTTTCATCCTATTTCATATTTTAGGCTACTAAAAATATTATTCCTTACTTAATGAGAGTTGCCGCTCTTGATCAGAACTATCCATCCTAGGAAAAAACGGACTCAAACTGCCCCTGTATCTGAAGCATTTCTTCGTAACCTTGATGCGAGAAGGCTTTTTAACAGGACTGTGCTCCTTCTCGATGTTCTTTCTAAGAATGTCTCGAATCACTGAGCGGCATAATATCTGAAGTGGTAATGGAGCAACCTCAACTAGAAAAAAGCGAATATTTTCATTGTTAGGCTAGTTTTCTAACTGTCACGACACATAAGTAAGGGATATAATATTGCAACACATTACTATTACCATAACTTAAAAAAAAAGTAGATACTATTTAATTTCATACGCAAATGCGAGTTTCTATATTTATCGTGAAAAACAGTAAAATTTCATGAAAAAAATTGAGAACTTGGCAATTAGTGGATTGGTACATAATAGATTTATGAATTTCTAAACTCTAAAATAATGGAAATCGAAAACAATAACTATTCAGATAAAGTTTTAGTGCAACTGTTCCGCCTTCATGCATAATGTAACCAAATTATAGCCGGAGGTTGATACCCGAGACGAACTCGAGGGTGTCAATCCGTCAGAAGTTCAAAAACCGGATTTTCGCCCTCGTATCGAACAATATTTTTTATCTGAATCAAATGCATAAGTTATAGTCATAAAGAAAAGCCAAAAATAAAAGGCATAAATTTAATATCTTAAATTTGATGTCAATGCCGTTTTTCAAATGTCACGTTTTGACTTTTGTAATTTTTCAAAAGCGTACTTTTTAAGCATATGCAAGCGAAACATATGCAAGTGAAACAATGAGTGTCGAAAATTCGAAAATTTCCTGTACTCCACCAGAAGTTAAAGATGCCACAAACATTGGTTTCAACTTCCAGCCTTGAAATAGGTGCTTTCACTGTATGGTGCTTATATAAGTTGCATATTTTGAATGACATTTGCGCTATTTAAAAATATTGTGTTTTGCGTGTGGCAACATTGGAGAACGCGAAAAAATAGGCTATTAAAAACCTCGTATTAATTATTGGAAAACGACTGAGACTGAACTTGTAACAAAGTTATGATTTACAAATCGTAAGTAAACTTTAAATTATTATCAATAGTTGTCGATAAACCTACGTAATTTATTTTAAAAAACATGTCGATTACTTTTTAATGAAAATAGTTTACAGTGACAGTGACACCACAGAACACCTCTGAACCATCTACACTTTTAGGGCGGGTATTATAATGTACGGTTAACCAACGGTTAAGATTCAACCCACGGTTGACGGCCAGTTTGGGTATTATAAACGCAAAACGGCGGTTGAAGTGCCGGCTCAGTGACGGTTGACTCAACCCGAAGAGCGGGGTCCGTTTGAGATTTCAACCCGGAGTTCGAAGCAGGTAAAAGCGTGGTTAGGCAACTATTTTTGTTTGGATATTTTGTTGGACTATACTTTTCCCATTAGAATACCAAGGCATTTTATAATACGTCCAGTTCATTTGGCAAGGTAAAGTGATGAGGAGTTTAAAATGAGATTTCGTCTTAGTAAACCGACTGTTATTTTCTTAGAAACTATATTAGGAAAAAAATAAATAGGAAATAAAATGAAACGGAAACCACAAGAAAGCAGTTCTACGATATCGCAAAATTTCGCCGTGTCATACTCACATAAAAAAAAAATTTTTCTTATTTTTTATTTTCTATAACTTTTTTCCAAAGCAAAGCTGCGTCCACAAGGCTATGACAGTCTGCGTCACTATATATTATTCGTTTTCCTCCTCCACTCATTTTCTATGTACAGAAACTCGCGGAATCTCAAATGCAAACATGAGGTAACGAACTATTCCAAACTTACATAGGTACCAAACTCTGGGAACTGACAAGAAAGCAATTATTTTGATTGGCTGATACTGTTCACGTAACGTGGCCAACGTTAGAGAATACAAGTCAAGTCCCAGTTGACGAACCCGAGGCTCAATAGTTTTTATAATACACAAATAAAGTGAACGGACGGTTGGTCAGCCGGAGGTTCAACACCACCTTTATGTATACCCGCCCTTAAACTTTCAAAACTCAATGTTTTACAAAAGACTGAAGCAAAACATGYCATATTTTTGGAAAAGTAATTTCAAGATCAAGTCAATTATGATAAAACATACGTAAAAATTTGTTTTGAARACAAAACCAATGCTAGCAAAATAGTTATTGGGCCTTTATAAAAGTCCAKATTTCKGCAAGATAATTTGCTACCTCTGAAACGGTACAAAATATTGACKTATGACTGAGGCTTAAACACTGACATTAGCTTTATTTTATTTTTTAGACCTTCTTTAAAMACACAAGGTCCATTTAAATGCGCACAATCACGGTTTACCAACCCGCACCTCAATATATTTTTTAAATTCTTACTTGGTTTCAAGTCCTGAAAACCTTTTGTAGGCCGAACTAAAGAAGCAAAGGACACTGGTATTAGGAACTTTTCCTCCCATTGACACACGGACTCCCTAAAAAATAATTACACAAATTATTAGAAACCAAGTTTTAAAAATAAAATTAATAAATACCGTTTGAACCGCATCAGTTGGTCGTTCAATGGCAGCACTAAAATTCCCCCAAGTTTAAGGCGGTTTTGCATATACTGTTGAAACTCCTCAGGGCAAGCGGCTCCGCAATAGATTCTATCATACAGAGGAGCACATGCATCAGTAACGGTCAGACAATTACCTGAAAACAGAGACAATGATAATTGTTAAACAGTTTACAATAAAATATTTTTCATTGAGATTCGGAAGTTTCACTGAAGTGATTCGTTACAGCAGAACTGATATTTTCTAAGAAAAGTTTTCTGCAGAAAGATGGTATTGTTGACACAATCAAGAAAACAGGTTTTATGGATTTGTGTAAAAGAAATCAAGTGAATGTCAAGTGGAAAAGGAAGCGCATTGCCATGAAAATCATTATGTGTATTACCGTAATTCTGTATATTTTAAGTTTTATGGGAGTTATGAGTAACTGATCTTGCTTACTACGTTTTTCAACTTTCCAGTCATAATAACACACTACTTATATCTTTGAGTATTGCAAACAAACATTTAAATATTGCATAAGTAGGAAAATACATAAATCCTAAGATGCCATTTTCTTTTATACTTTCAAATACTAAATAAGTTCGCAAATTTTTCGTCACTAATGGCGATCAATTAACGGCCTCAGGAAGTTGTGGGTTTACCGAATTTCTGGCCCGCTTAAGGGAGGCTACTTAGATCTTTAAGCTCCAAAAGATAGATGAAAAACGGGGATAAAATAGTCCACAATTCAGCAAACAATAACGATTTATTCCCAGATAAGCGCGAAATACCAATTTGGTTTGTCAAATGTGACTTACCCGGAAATTCGGGAACCATCTGGCACTTGCTAAATATAGTTTTTCTACAGCCAACCGTTCTGGCTAGGCAAGGAAAATAGGTGACATCTCTTAAAAAGTGATATTGGACTGAACGTAACTATTGCAGACATCCTGGTATGTAAAAATCTTAGCAATAATTTGTTGTCAGTTAAGAAACTTGAGGATAATGGTTTCAATGTATTTTTCAAAGACAAACAAGTACTGATTATTAGAGATAATGTTGTTCTACTGAAAGGGTATTTACAAGGAAATTTAAATGTAATATACTTTTGGCCATTATTTAATGCAGACGCACATTTAGTGCAGGATGAGTCAAATGCTGATGCACAGACGATTGGCGCATTCATCAAAGTATCCAGCCCCTGGAATTTGTGAAGTATGTATGCAAGGGAAGCAGTCGATATTACTATTTTCTACCATATCTGAAGAAAGAAAACCCAAGAGAGTACTGGAAGTAGTATCTACAGATGTTTGTGGACCAACCAACTCTCTGATGATGGTAAGATGWTGATGGYAAGAGATATTATGTGTCCTTCATAGATCACTATTCACATTTTGCTATATGATACCTCATAAACCCCAAAAGTGAATTATTAGAAAAGTTCAARGAATATGTRAACTTAGTACAAGCTAAATTTGGAACAAGTATAGAACGAATTAGGTGTGACAATGGAGGCGAGTACACATCTACTGCTTTTAAATAATGTTYACAGATTGKAATAAAATGTCAATACACAGTAGCCAGGAACCCAGAACAAAATGGATTGGCAGAGCGATACAACAGAACAATAATGGAAAAGGCAAGATGTTTAATATTTGATGGTAAATTAGAAAAATAATTATGGGGAAAAGCCGTCAGAACAGCAGTTTATCTGACTAATAGAACTGAGACTGTTGCATTGTCTGATAAAAAAAAAACTACCAGCAGAGATTTGGTATGGTTACGCGCCAAATCTTGTTAAAATTACTGTTTGGTTCGATTGCACATATGTTAATACCAAAGGAAGACAGAAAAAGTAAACTCGATTCTCATAGCAGAAAATGCATAATGGTGGGCTTTGCATATAATGGTTATACGCTTCAGTATGACGAAAATAAGAGAATTGTTATTGGAAGAAACGTAATATTTGACGAATCAGCGAAATGTTCAATACCAGTAGAATTACCAGATGAAACCCTCTTCGAAACCCCAAAAAAGGAACAGAACACTAAAAGTGACTGTAAACAAGAACCCAATGTTTCTCCATAAGAGAAGATTCGGAAATCTACAAGAAGAACACAAATTCCGAAATATCTGAACGACTTCGAACTTGATGTTAGTTTAATTATGCCATGTTAGCCTTATCAAGTGGAAATGTAATTTCGGAAGTGCCATAAAGCTACAATAAAGCAGTTACCGATCAAGGATGGAAAGATGCAATTCAAAAAGAACTAAATTCACTTGATGAAAGCAAAACATGGGAGCTCCCTCCAGAGAGGAAATACCTCCAGAGAATTGTGAAATTATAGTTTCCAGATGGGTTTTTCGCAAGAAATTGATCGATGGAAACGTAGTGAAGAAAGTGCGACTAGTTGCTCGAGGATTCCAACAGTCTTCTCTTGATTAAGATGTCTATGCACCTGTAGCTAGAATGGTTACACTTAGGGTGATGCTGATACTGTACATTCAGTTTGATTTGAAAGTTACGCAGCTTGATGTAAGCTCTGCATTTCTTTATGGAGCATTGGAAAAAACTGTGTATATATTTCCACCTGAAGGGCTAAATGGTGAAGATTAGCTTGTGTACAAAGTAACAAAATCACTGTAGGGCTTGAAACAAGCACCAAAGTGTTGGAATTCATCGCTCTAGGAAAGATCCTTGTTTATATTTTAATGATAGAAACTTTCCTTTGGTATATGTTGATGATGTAATTTTATTTTCAGAAAGTGTTGACGATATGCAAGTTATTAAAGAAAAACTATCTAAAAGTTTTAAAATGAAAGAATTCAATAACAAGAACATTAT